AAAAAATCCAAAGTCATACAGATAGATATCACAGTATCACTTATTCTATGCACCTTAAATCATTTTCATTCTAAGGTTATATAGCTATTTTTCTATTTTAGGACCATTTCAGCTCTATCTAGATTTTGTATTTCCTTTATATTTTATCCATTTCTGGGAGGCAAACTGGTTCTTTATAAGTAAATTTATATTAGAATATGAGGTGCTGAACTAGATATAATATGGTTAAATGTTAAGTTCTTATGTCACTGATTTATAAAAATTTCAGACAGCAATGAGTAGTTGATTTCTTTAGGTATGTTATTTTGAGAAATATATACTGTACAAAGGATCTCTATGGTGCAACTACTGAAACACCATAACATGAATATAGCTTACATATATTTTTAAAATAAATGGTAAAATCACTTTTTAATTTTCAGGAAATACTTAAAATGGAAAAATTCAGCTCATCTTATTTCAAGTATTATAACTACTCATTTGTATGTTATTAGAAATGTTTGCATATCATTAGAAGCTTTTAGGAAAAAAAATCACAGAATTTGACCAAAAGGCAGAGGACCAAAGAATTGGGATTTTGGAAAGATTAAACCTATTTAAATTAATGGTATTTTTTCTACTTAATACAGATCATAAACTTAAAATAGCAGTAAATTTGAATGATCAAAATAATATAGTTTTGATAAAACAATTTGTTTTAGCCCTTAAGTTTTAAGAACTTTAAAAAACTTTAGGTACTTTCATAAATGCAGTATTCCAGAAGAAAATGTAGGATAAAAAACAGACTATCTTTACTTACAGATTCTTTTCGGCCCATAGTTTTGCTATGAGAGCGGGAACGTGAGATGTTGCTAAAAAAAGAATCTTTTTTAGTAGCAGATGAAGGTGGAGAGCCCATAAATTCTCTTCCCCCAGGCAAACTTTCAATGCTTGGTGATGAACTGATGTTTTTAGAATTTTGTCCTGTAAGAAAAATTAAGCAGCAGTTAAAAATATCAGAGGCTTTCACTGAGCTACTAAATCTATTACTTTAAATACTACAAACATATACTAAGAAAAATAGAATATTAGCAAAAATATTAGAAAAAAATGAATGATCAATTATGTATGCCTTTATTCATGTCAGCAGAGATACTGCTGTTTGAGTGCAACAAAGCTTGCTGTTCTTAATGAGATGTCTTTTTTTTTATGGCTTCTGTTTTTAGTGACTTGCTTAGGAAGGCATTTCTCTCCCTACGATGAATACTGATATAATTTAGGTATTTATTATAAACCTAAGTTTTTCATTTTCTCCTTTCACAAATTTTTCACTGCTTTTCTGTTTAAGGCAGTGGCTTTAATTGTCTTTGGAGGTGATGGAAGATACATCTAAAACAGTAGGAATGTCTACTCAATTTGAATTCAAAATTAGTTTTAAAAGCCCACAAAACAAAAGATAAATCTAAGAAGCCAAAACACTTTGATTCACAAGAACATGGCTTTTCACAAAATAAAATGAAAAAATACCATCTTTTTCTAAGTTTATATAACAGTTTATCTGTCCCTTCAAGATCTGGATTATCTAACTATAAAACTTGATGGGACAAGTAACTTTTAAAAGGCATTACTATGATGACTTTTTGGATTTTTCTTTTTCCCCCTTATTAACTTTTTCTATGACTCCCTGGGTTGATTTTGATTGGATTAAATCTTCCTTAAAAAAAAAAAAAAGCCATGTACATGACAGTCAGTATAATGCCTATATCCTTAATTCCCAGAGCTTAGGAAATTATTACCATATGTGGCAAAGACTTTACAAGTCTCATTAAAGTTCAAGATGTAGGGCTGGGGATTTAGCTTAGCAGCAGCACATCTGCCTTCCAAGTGCAAGCCTGAGTCCAGTAAGGGGTGGGGGTTAAAGACGTAGTTAAAGTTAAAGAAAATATCCAGGTTGGCCAATCTTATCACTTAAGTCCTTATGGCAGAAGACAAAGGCAGAACAGTGACTCGGAGATGTGAATAAAGAAGAAAAAGGAGACAGCTGGATCATGAGAGGGACATGACCTACCATTGCTAGCTTTGCAGATGGAAAAAAGGGTCATGAACCAAAAAATCCTCTAAAGCTGACAAGTATCTTCTACAGTCAACGAGGACATGGTGACCTTGATCCTATACTTATGGGGAATGGAATTATGCCAATGTTGCAAAAAAGCTCCTCTAGTGCTGTATTCTAGCCCAGTGAGACCTTTGTCAGAATTCTGACCTGTGTAATCTTTGAAAAGTAAATTTGTACTGTTAAACCACTAAGTTTGTGGTAATTTTCTGACACCAACGGAACACTCTGTCCAGATTTCCAACTTACAAAGTTCTATACAGTACTCTTACATTTTTTGAAAAATCACTCTTCTGTATCTTTAGCTGATTTTAATTCTTATTTTGTATGTGTTAGCATTTTTTTCTCATTCATTTTGGATCAAGCTACTGAATGTGAAATTACTTCACTGTTTTAAAGAAGTACACTTTGGTTTCACTGACAAAATCTGTTGTTAATTTCTTCTTTTATCCTTGTGGATCCCTTTCCTTTCTTAATGTATATCTTGATTTTTTTTGCTAGTTTTCTAAATAGTATACTTTAGATAATTTACTGTCTTATTTTCTATTAATTATACTTCCTCTGAATATAATTTTATCTCACTTTCTCACGGTGTTGATATTTGGAAAATTTTCAAGAAAGCATTATCTAAAACATGTGAAGTTTGATTTTTGATGTCATTGTTAATCCAAGAGTTATTTAAAAAGTCATTTTACATTTATTAAGTGGTGGAATGTGAATATAAAATACTTGAGAGTGGGAGGAAAGTGGGTTTGCAGGCAGACCCGAATCCTTACCTATCTTCAGATATTTTATCTTCCCATTTCAATGTTAATTTACTTGAGAGTAAAATTGTAGTTCAAAATAATTTCCCACAGAAATTTGAAAATAAACAAATATATTCAGGCCCTCAGTTCTACCAGTGAGAAATTTAATGATGATAATCTTAAAAACAAACTTCTATTTCAAAAATTTTTTGGTCTTTTTGGAAAAAGGAGATTCCTCCTTATCCTTGAAGTTCTGACAGTTTTCTGTGAAATTCTTAGGGATGGGTCTTTTGTACATTTATGCTACTTGTCAGTTCTTTTTTAATCTCCTGGCCAAAGCATTTTTTAGTTCTGGGAAATTTTATTACTCCTTTGATTGTTATATTATACTTATGATTCAAGACTTCCAGTATTTGCCATTATACTTCAAATTCTGAATTAATCTAAAATTGCAGGTAGAATCATTTAAATTTTATTATATCCTTGGAAGAATTTCAAATCTGGGAAACTATTATAATTTTTATTTCAATTTTCTTCCAAAATGAAAAAATGTTGTTAGCAGTTATAACCTTCAAATCCTATAAAATTTCAGTTTCCTGGATTATTTTCTGAAATTAGATAGGGAGTGTGCATTATATATCCATGTATATCTACTACATTGTATAACATTTGTAACTTAAGTAAAATTCTATTATAATCTGTTAAGAAATTTCTCCATTTAAGAAATTACAACATTATCAAAGAAAAAAATTAAGAAGTTATCCTAGTTTGTATATATTGATTGTTTACATGATTAAATTACAGTAAGAACAGGAAACTTTTTATTTCATTCTAGATTTTAAAGGCATAGTATCTGAATTCTATTTAATTTTCTCCAGTCTTCTATATACATATTTCCCTAACCAAAGAAGAAATTAGATTAGACTACATCATATACAGTATACATACAGTAGGTGTATTTCTAGACCTCTGTACATACTATTTCATCTAAGTCTAATGACTTTGTGAGGTACTTGTGATAAAATTCAGAATGAGAGAATTTAATTCACTTGTCCAAGAACAAATAGTGGCATCACAAATTAAACCCAGATTTGTCCAGACTTAAGGACTACACCTATATAATCCTGCAGTGTGACGCAGAACAAAAGTAACTGCAAAAACTACTAATTCAGAATGAGTTTGTGGGAGGAAGAAAGCCATTCTATTCAATTTTTAGGTTTTTGAGGGTTTGTTTAGCAACAGAAATTGGTCAGGCCTCTCTCTTGTAATCAGTTACAAAGGCTTATACTGCTCAGGGCAGGATCTATAGTCCTAGCCTCATTTGTTGGGAAAAGCTAGCCTTGTGGCAGTAGATCAAGGGATACAACAAAGGCATGCTTAGGTCCAGTCTGGAATGTCTGAAGAAAGCTGTTCTATGATGTATCATATGAGCCACATTTGATTTTAAATTGTCCACCATTCACATTTAAGAAGAAATATGAAATTAATTTTAATACTTTAACTTCATATATCTAAATTATTATTCTTTCAATGTGCTGTCAAAAATTTTTTGACATTTTACTTTCATTTTTTTCACACTAAATCTGCAAATTCAGACTGTATTTTATACCTGTGGTATAGATTTCAAGTGCCCAATAACTACAGGTCGTTAGGGAATATTATAACGGGCAGTTAAGTATAAAAAGTTTGTATTTGCAAACATATTTCACAACATAAAGGTTATTATATTTTATAACTATTATAACAAAATAAGGGGGAGAAATCTTTGGAAGGTCTACTTTAATAAATTAGCTTATCAATTACTTACTATGTGAGAATATATATATATTCCACAAGAATTTGAAAGCAGTTTGTTCCTTGAGGAGCAATAACTTCCTTGGTTTCTTTTGTAGCAATTATTCTGCTATATATACTTCCTTTTTAGTAGTAATACTAAGGTCAGTTCTTAATCAGAATTTATCTCTGAATTATGTAATTTCAAATTAGTAGTAAGAGTAGTAATAAATAACTTAGCCTACATCTCACTGAAAAACTCTTTAAAATGTTTGCTCTCAACTACAGAAATTTTTTGTGTTCTTTGGTAACAAAAGAGTAGACATGAGGAAATAGTCATTGGGGCAATGTTTCCAAAGGGGATGATGAAGTATTTCTTCTGGAGATGTTTTAAGAAGTCCAGGTACCAGTACTCTTGGCTTGAGACGAAACAATAATCAGACTTCCCTACTGTTTTATGTCCAGCATGTACAGGATAGGATCACATTTGTATGGCTCACTGGGATAAAGGGATGAGGTTTCATTTATGTTTCACCTGATAGCTCCTAAGCTGAGGGGTAGGTATTCTTAGCAAGCTTGTAACACACAAGTAAGAGTGTGCACATGTGTGTGTTTCTCTGCAGTACTGCGGATTGAACCTAGATCCCTAGTCCAACACTGCTTCTTTCACTCCCTAGGTTCTAATCTTGAGAGTAAAAAAACTCTCAACTCATAGATTTGTGTTTCACAGTTTGGTTTTGAGGATTTCTGACCCAAGACAAATCTTTAAAATCATTTTATACTGTATTCTGAAATATACTAATTATGGGTTATTTCTAAGCCATCTCAGTTGTGGATGTATTTTTAATGCTTTTTAAAATTAATTTTATTGGTATTCTTTGATCAAATTCATTATAGGGAATTTGTACCTGTACATAATATATCTTGATTCTGTTTTCCCTCATGCATATAATCTTTCATTTATAACCAACCAGCAGGGAAGAAGTTCCATGTACAGAATTTATGAGATGCCTACAGAAAGCTCTGTCAAGCACTGGGATGGGCAGAAGACCACATGAGAAGCTCTTAAGAATCTCTTAAATTAATTGCACAAGGAAAATATAGATTTGTACATACAATATCCTACAACCCCAGATGATACAAAAATAAACAGAAAGGTACAAACACATTTTAGGAGCACAAAAAGTGTCTTTAGGAGCACAAAAATGAAGTGTTCAATCTTGTCTGAAATAATTAGAGATGTGAGTAAAATCTTAAAACTGATGGAGGAGAGTGTTGTGGCAATGGTGGTGCAGGAAGGGTCTCTTCTGTCAGACAGTATAATACTGACAAAGGAATTTAGATGACTGGCA